CAGACCAGTAAGCCTGGTCTTTTTAATGACAAGTTATGCACTCATTAGAACAATAAATCATACCAAATCAAAAGGGTAGCATTTTCCCAGGGATAAAACTAAAAAGTCAGGAAGGGATAGGAAAGAAGGATGAAAGGAAATGGTAAACACAAGGAGGAAGTGGGAAGAGTGGTGTTGCACTGTGGGAATTGCAACATCACAAAACAAAATGTGTATGAATTATTGAATGGAAAAACCAATTTGCTCTGTAAAGTCCCACCCAAATCATAAAAGAAAAAGAAAAAAGAATCTATTCCCCAAGAAGTTAGTGCCTAAGGCACTTGACTGCCAACCAGAAGGCTGGCGGTTCAAACCCACCAGCCACTCCTCGGAAGGAAGGTTGGGCAATCTACTTCCGTAGTGATACTGCCTTGGCAACCCAAGGAGGGGTCGCTATGATAGAAATTGTTAATATTATGGATTTAGGTTTGAAAAGGAGGGACTTTTTTTTTTTGTTTTTGTAGCCAGTGCAAGAGATCAATAGTGAGGTGGTGCCTAGAAAATAAGGGAACGGTTGTTAGCTTTGGGAACATAGTTACAAATCAACACACACAACAGAACAAAATGGAGATATTCCAAAGCAATACAACTGTCCCTTAACTTGTAACTGCCCAGTCGGTCCCTGACTCATGACAATCCCAAGCATAACAGAATTAGACCATTGTCATAGGGTTTTCATTGATAGAATCTTTGGAAGTAAATCACCTGGCATTTCTTCCTATTAGTCTAGAACTTCCACTGAAATTTGTTCAGCATCATAATGGCACACAAGCTTCCAATGACAGATGGGTGGTGGCTCTGCATGAGGTACATTGGCCAGGGACTGAACTCAGGTCTCTCATGTGGAAGGTGGGAATTCTAACACTGAACCATCTCTGCCCCTGTACTGTAACTCAAGTGAAAACAATAATGGCTCCAAATAAAGAGTGTGTCAGGCATAACCTTAGTGGTTGATAAGCGCTGTTCAGAGAAATAAGAGTCAGGGAGGCAAACCTGAACAGGGTCCCCATAGACATCGCCCAAGATACATTTGGGCAGAACTTGCCACCGCCATTGTAGAGATAGAGGTAAGCTAGTCTGGCATCCTCCAACATGTATTGCATATAACTAACACTCTTGCCTAGGTGCATATTCACTACATCATCTTTTGATATACAAGCATACTTTGTTTTAATGCACTTCACTTTGTTGCACTTTGCAGATCCTGCATTTTTTACAAATTGAAGGTGTGTAGCAATCTTGCTTTGAGGTGCCTACTGATGCTATTTTTCCAATAGCATGTGCTCACTTGGTGTCTCTAGGACACACTTTAGTAATTCTTACAGTATTTCAAACTTTTTCAAAGAGCTATTGCACATTTAGTGGAATATAGTATAATGCAAACATAACTTTTATATCTACTGGGAAACCCCAAAATTCCTGTGACTCACTTTATCTAGATGTTTACTTTATTTTGGTGGTCTGGAACCAAATCTATGATACCTCCAAGGTATGCCTGTATATACGGCTTCCCATCTGGTTTTCCTGTATAAGAAAGATACTCTGACCAGAATTAGGTGGGTCTCTGGGGTCCTCAGAGTCCCCAAGTGGTGCAAACAATTAAGCACTCAGCTACTAACCAAAAGGTTGGCAGTTCAAACACACCCAGAGGCACCTGGGAAGACAGGCTTAATGATCTGCTTTTGAAAGATCACATTCTTGAAAACCCTATGCAGCAGTTCTACTGTGCACCCATGGGGTTGCAGTGAGTTAGAATCAACTCAGTGGCACACAACAGCAACAACCGGGGCCCTTTTGCAGTTAGATAATAACTAATTAGAGATATAAATTAATACATTGGCATTTTGGCTCAGCATCAGTCTTTTTTAAGATTCATTAATGCCAAGTCAATATCTCTGAATCTGACTAGTTTTCTTAGTCTAGGGAGAAGATCTGCCTCCTGTTTGGACTGTGAAAATGCCTCTTGAAATCCCTGAGTAGCTGGGTAACTATCCTTCTAGCAACATAGGGCTCTTACCCCACATCCTTCCTTCAAATATCTACAGTCCGATGTATGGGTCCAATAAGAACCTCAACCTCAACATGCCCATGACTGAATTCGTTTTCTCCCCCAAACCTGTTCCTCTTCTTGGGTTCCTTTCCCAAATGAACAAACCTTCCACTCCCCTCACTATTCAAGTGCTAAGTCTAGACATGATCCTTACCTTCTTCTCTCTCCCTCTGTTCTCAGATCTAATTTGTAACCAGGACTAGTTGATTCTGCCCCCTAAAGGCATCTGTTTTACAGTTTGCCTACTTACCCCCACTTCTACTGGCACAGCCAAAGTTCAGGCCACGATCATGTCTTAACTTTGTACTTTGACTGCCTGCTTGCCTCTATTCCCCACACTGCAGCCAGGGCTACCGTACTAAAAAGTAGATAGCCTCAAGCCCCTCTTACCTTCAATGTATTTCCACTACTTGACATATAAAGTACAAATTCCTTTACATTCCTTCAGGGACCTACATGAACTTATCTCTTATTCTTTTCGCAGCTTCATCACTCGCCACTAACTCCTTCTAACTCTCACTCTCACTCTATGATCCACCGTGTGGATCTATCAGTTCCTTGAATCTAATCTTTGCCTTCAAGCCTCTGTGGTTACATCTTTTCTGGAACATCTTTTTTTTCCTCTTCCTTCTACCTACTTGGATAGCAATACTTCGAGTCTTAACTTAAATTTCTTTTTTTTTTTTTTCCAGGATACTTTATTGGATCCTTTAACTAGTCTTTCCTAGTTAAACTAGGAAAGATGTATTCTTATATCACTATGCACCCATGCCATGCATCACCCACATCATAGCATTTTTCACATAATAATACCTAACACTTTGATCCTGCTTACCACATGCCAGGCTCCCTTCCAAGTACCTTGTGATTATTACATAATTCAATTGCTAAAACAGTTCTTTGAGATCACGGGGAAAAAAAAAAACTCAAATTGGTTGCATCAAGTTGATTCCAACTATGGTGACCCCATTTGGGTCAGAGTACAACTGCTCCATAGGGTTTTTCATGGCTGTGACCTTTCAGAAGCAGGTTGCCAGCCTTTTTTTTCAAGGTATCACTGAACCAAAAAACCAAACTCACTACTGTGGAGTAGGATCCCTCTCATAGCGACCCCTCCTTGGGTTTCTGAGGTGGTATCATTATGGAGGTAGATTGCCCAATCTTCCTACTGAGGAGTGGCTGGTGAGTTTGAACCGCCAGCCTTCTGGTTAGCAGTTAAATGCCTTAGGCACTATGCTACTAGAGCTCCCAGTGTGCCACTGGGTGGGTTTAAACTGCCAACTTTTTGGTTAGCAGCCAAGTGTTTAACTGTTTGCATCACCCAAGGACTCCTCTCTGAGATAGATACTGTTATTATTCCCTTTTTATAGAATAGGAAACTGAGATGCAGGAAGGTTATATAATATGCCCAAATTCACACAGCTAAACACTGAGGGAATCTAGACTTTGCATTTAGGCGTGTAGCACTGGAGGCTGCTCCCAATCATTTTGCAGTTATGTATCTAAAGAAATTGGCTATTTGTATGTCTGTTTTCCCTACTAGACTGTAAACTTGCTGAGGGCAAGGACCTTGCACAGCACATAGTAAGTGCTCAATAAATACTTGTTGTTTGGATGGAGACTAAAAAGAGCTTTTCAGTCTCATTTACATTATCTGAGCTCTTAGATTTTATTTAAAGCTTAAGTCTAGTGTAGATGGTTAAGCACATGAGCACTGGAGTTAAGTTGTCGGTGTCCATTTCCCATCTATGCCTTTGCTAGCTGTGTGATATTGGGCAGGTTTCCTAATCTCTGTTTGCTCATGTGTAAAACAAGATAAAATAGTATCCACTTCATAAAATGATCCTAAGTATAAAATGATGTAATAAATATAACACAGTTACACAAAGTATTTAATAAACATGCACAACGAAAAGTGACAGTCCAAAACAACTCTTTCTTTGGATTCAGAGCATGGAAAAAAAGAGAATTATCACTATTACCAAATAGAAATTAATTTAATATATTTGCATATTTTATAAAATTGTAAAGCTGGTATTTCAACCTATCACTTAGCAGAGTCCTCAGAGCAGCTGGTGGGTGTGTGGACATCTGTAAACATTAAAGCGCCAGGGGGCGCTATTCTAAAATACCACTGAATTGAAACCTAAAAGAGAATCCAATTTATTTATTTTTGCTGCAGTAACACCTTAGATTTTCCACCTGCCTCTTCAAGCCCACTATCTTCCACTGCATCAGCCCACACATACTATATTTTATGTATGGCAAAAACTTACGGCCGTGGAGTCGGATCGGACTCATGGCGACCTCTCCTTGGGTATCTGAGGAGGTATCACTACGGAAGTAGATTGCCTGAGCTTCCTTCCCAGGAGTGACTGGTGGGTTTGAACCGCCAGCCTTCTGGTTAGCAGTTAAATGTCTTAGGCACTACACCACCAGAGCTCTCAAAATTATAAATACATTTATTAAATACAGTGAAAAATTATAAGAGGCAGCCAATGTTTTCTGCCAGTTAATTAACAAGTTTCTTTCTTTCTTTTTCTTTTTCCTTCCTTCCGTCCTTTCTTTCTTTCTAACAATAATGAGCACAAAAATAGCAAGGTACTTGTTGTGACTATCTTTAAAATGCTATTGAAAATCTGACATTCAAACCAATCTGAAGTCATCCATTTAACTAGTTGGCGTTTCCCAAGGAAAGTCTACTTGAATTCCAATCCATCACCAAAGACTGTCAGCTCTGGTGGCATCCCTGCTATCTTTACACAGGAAATATTTCAATAATTACGTCTAGCTGAGACATCTTAACTGCCAGAAAGCAGCACATCAGCTGTGCAATGGAGTGCAGCCTCAAAGTAGTATACATTTAAAATTACTTAAATAAATGACTTAGCATTTGCTTTATCTCCCATACTTGTGTACTGGTCCTTCTTCTGATAAGTAGCGTTGAACTTTAAGCTTTTGTCCTAGGAGACAACCCATCAGAAATTCCTTCCATCCATCCCAGACATCCAAGCGAAGTGTTATGCCTGTGGATCAAGAGAGGTTACAGTCCATCACTGTGATTTGGCAATCTATAAAGCTTCTAATGATTGAGCATGATGCAAAATGAAAAGTAACCTTGGAATAAGTAGACAGGAATACTATTTTCAGTTTAGGCGTTTAATGTCTTGAAAAAGCCATTTAGGTTTCGTGCACTCCCATTTTCTCATGGGCATAATGATCACATATAATGCTGAAATATTTCTGCAGCTATCTTAAAACAGTCCTATGAACATTGATTCGGTGCTGAAATATAAATGACTGTAAACTAAAGCTGTTTTGTTGGAAGAGAAAACTAACTTTAAGGGCAGGACAAACAGCCTTCATGGACCTTTTCGTTACTAGTAATAGACTTGACTGATGCTCACTAGCTATCATGCTTGGTAAAGTAGAGGGACAGTGAAAAAGGAGAAGACCCTTAATGAGATGGATTGACATTGAACCAATGGGCTCAAGCATGGCAGTGACTGTGAGGACGGCACAGGACTGGGCAGTGTTTCATTCTGTGGTGCGTAGGGTTGCTATGAGTTGGAGCCGACTCGTAGGCACCAAACAACAGCCATCCTCTTGTTCTTTATTTACTTTATGACATAGCAGCTGTTCTGTATTATAAATATAATTCAGTGATGCTGGGGAATTTATCACATGCTCCTTAAAATCCTATCCTTTCCTGGCTTCTATGACACCACATTTCCTTCATCTTTCAGGCTGGCATTTTCCAGGAATCTCCTCAGCCTTCTGCTCTTCTCACTCTACAGATTTCCCTGGGGAAAAAAATCTGAACTTTTCCAAGTTATCACCAAGGCCCTCCCTTCTACCTCACTCACATCCCTCTACTCTGCCTCAGCCCACTTTGCTGAGGCCACCCTGATCTTTCACCTCTCCTTCAAACATACTAAGACCATGCCCATCTCAGGACCTAAAGACTTACAGTTTCTTTTAAGTAGGGGCAGGAGTACACAGGAGGGAAGGATACAGGAAAGAGTTAACTATGGGGAGGAAGTGGGAAGAGAGCTGTTACATTGTGAGGAATTGCAGTCAATGTCATGAGATAAAATGTGTATGGAAAATGAATATACTCTGTAAACTTTCACCCAAATTACAAAAAATTTTTTTTTTTTTAATTCTTCATGAAAGGGTTGTCTTTAGATTTTGACTGGCTGTATCCTTCTCAAGGGGCATTGTTGGTTTGGTGGTAGAATTCTTGACTTCCATGTAGGAAACTTGGGTTTGATTCTCAGGTTTGATTCCTGGCCAATGTCCTTCCAGGGCAGCCACCACTCACCTGTGATTAGAGGCTTGCATGTTGCAATGATGCTAAACAGGTTTCAACAGAGCTTCCAGACTAAGACAGACTAGTATAGCAATCTACTTCCAAAAATCAGCCAGTGAAAACCCTATGGATCACAACAGTTGGAGCCTGTTTTGCATGCAATCACTATGCTTTGGAGCTGACTGGAAAGCAGCTATAACAACATGTTCTTCTCATCTTTTAGCTAACAATTCAAATGCCATGTCCTCACAGAGGACCACCTCTTGGCCACCATAGCTAAAGCAACCTCTGCCGCTACCACTACCTTCTCCATTACGCTTTATCCCAAAGACTTCACTTTAACTTCTGTATAGCTCCTGTCATCAATACCTAAAATCCTTTGACTTGTTTGGGGATCTTCTTTTTATTCATCCACTAGAAAGTAACTTTCTTCAGGACTTGGTAGGCAGTCTAGCACTTGCTAGTACTTAATAATACATACTTATTGGCGGATTAACTGGCAATCTCAGGGATGCTAATGGCTTTATTCACCACTGATGTGTCACTCCCAAATCGAAAACTCTAGCTCAGGCCTCTATTCTAGCTCAACTGTCCTTGCTGTGGATATTGACATCTGAGCGATTGCACTGCAACCCCATCATTCTGCAGAACAACTCCTCATCTTTACCCCCTCCCCAACCACCAGCTTTTTCTCCTGCATTCTGTGTCTCAGCTGGTGGCAACACTAACTTTCTTGCTACCTAATCTAGAAATGTGGGAGTGATTCTTCATCCCTCTCCTTTCCTCATGCCCTACATTTAAACAATCACTAAAGCCTAGCAAGTTTATCTCACAAACATTTAGCAACTGTTTCCTTACGTCCATTTCAATCAGTATTGCCCTCTTTTAGGCCTAGATAACCTCACAGCTACCCACTCTTTTTATAGAGGTGTCTGTTCAAATGTCATCTCCTTTCCTGACCAACCACCTAAAGTAGTCTGCTTATCGCCCCTACCACATCACTTTCTGTTCTAGTATCCTGCTGTCCTTTCCTTCATAGTCTTTATTCCATTGCAAATGACATTTTATTCTAGATGTTTAGATACTTGACGGTACTTGCTTCTCCCATTGGAATGCAAGCTCTCAGAGGGTAGGGACCTTGCTGCTTACTCACAGCTCTATTCCTGCTTCCCAGATCAGAGCCTAGCTCTTGGTGAATGCTCAGTGAATATTTGCTGAATGAAGTTCTGCTTCTCTCCCTAAATCCATTCTAGTTACACACTGCCCTCTTTTTTTTTTTTTTTAATTTTTTTTTGATTTGGGTGAAGATTTACAGAGTAAATTCACTTTTCATACAGCAGTTCACATATACTTTGTCTCATGACATTGACCAAAATTTACAATGCAACAGCTCCCCTCCCACTTCCTCCCCATAGTTACCTCTTCCCAGTGTCCATCCCTCCATACTCTCCTGTGCCCTGAGCTGTCTCCCTGTGCATAAGCAGCCCTTCATTCTCCCATGATTGTTCTCTCCAGGGTGTTACACACTGCCCTCTTGACCACTCAGCTGCCCAACTGGCTAGACTGCACACCTATATGCACACCAGGCTGTTTCTTGCTCAGCGCCTTTTCTGTCTGAATGCTTCTGATTCCTTCCCCACAGCCTCCTACTAATAATGTATGATGTAACCCTAGCATCACCTCCTCCAATAGGCCCTTTGTGACCACACCATCCTCTCACCCCTCCAAATAGGTTAAAGAACCACTTCTTTGGGCTCCCATAGTATATATTGAAACTCTTCTTCATTGAACATACACTACTACTTTGGAACTGTGCATTTACAAATAATAACAGTGAAGTCTTTGAGCCCAAGAATCATGGTTTGTCCATTCTTATAGGCCCTGTCTTAGCTATGTTGTTGGGTAACAAGGAGGCCCTCAAGAAAATTAGGTTTATTATACAGATAGACAATGATCACACCTGGTGTGCATTAGGAATCAAGGCATCTCTCAAATGGGCAACTCCCCATCTCACACATGAGCCCCAAGACCTGTCTCTCATATCCTCTGTGACTCTTTGTGTGTTTTCTCCTCTCTCTACCTCTCCTTATGTTTTTTTCTTCTACCACAACTTTGGCATGCATTCAACATTGGTTTGCCACAGTCCAACTCTACTTCATGACACCTTTCAGTTTTTGCCCATGCTGCTAACCAACTTCATTTCCCTATATTTCCCAGTTTGAATTCACAAGACTGATAATTAATCATAATAGTAGCAAATATTCTTTGAATGCTTATTATGTGCTCTGCACTGTTGTAAGTACTTTACATGAATAAACTAATTTAAAATTCATAACAACCCTAAGCGATGGGTAGTATTATTATTCCTCTCTGACCACTGAGGAAACTGAAGCACCAAGAGATTCAGTAATTTGCCCAGGGTTTACATAGCTAGTAAGAAATGGAACCAGGAGTTGTTGTTGTTGTTGTTATGTGCTGTTGAGTCGGCCCCGACTCATAGCGACCCCTCCTTGGGCTTCCGAGGCAGTATCACTACGGAAGCAGATTGCCCAACCTTCCTTTGGAAGAGTGGCTTGTGGGTTTGAACTGCCAGCCTTCTGGTTAGCAGTTAAGTGCCTTAGGCACTGTGCTATAAGAGCTCCCAGGACCTAGGTAATTTGGGTTCTGTCTTTATCCTCTGTGTTATACTCCCTCTCCAAACAAGAATCTGTGACAATTGATGTCACTGGACAGCCTATGGAGGGATTGACTGCCTTCTAATCAAAATACGATAGCCTTAGGAGTAGGAACAGGACTGTGTGCATGACTTGGCTTATGCATCCATATCCTCAGGTTCAGACACATAGTAAGTTCATGATAAATACTTGTTATGGAAGGAAGAAAGGGACTGAGAGAAGGGGAAGAAAGAAAGTGAAGGTGAAAGAAAAGAAGGAAGGGTGGGAGGGAGGGAGGGACAAAATAAGGACTTAGTAGCTCTTTGGAGCCACAGAATGCTTCTCAGCTGTGTTTATCTTTGTTAGCTCAGATTTTGCAACATTAGTAGTTTTGTAATTACAGAATACTGAAGATAAAAAGATCAGCCTATTCTGCTGTCCTATTACATAGAAAAGGGAACTGAGGCCCAGAGAGGTGTGTGAATTGTCTGAGGTTACTCAGCAAGGTCAGAGTAGAATTTAGTTTGGAACTCATGTCATCAGGACTCTTTCCAACATCTAGAAAATATCTTCCTTTCAGTTGCCTGTCACTTTCCTTCTGTTCTTTCTGTTCTTGCCTTCCTTCCACAGGACACCACACGGGTATATCTTCTGTCTCCTGCTTCCTTCCTTTCTGCATGTTCTGTGTTATAGCCTGTAAGCTTGAAATGGAACTCTTCCCTCATTAGTCCTTACTCTGGTTTTGGGTTTCTTGACCTTGGCCTTGCTCTCCTTTGTGGATTGATTCTTATTTGTTATGCCTGTTTACCCACAGATATTGATCTGCATTATTGGCCTCATTCCACTAACCTGCCTTGACCCTGACAAATCTGGCCTTAGTTAGGAGAGTTCACGCTCCTTGCAGTAAAATTGTGGAATTAATCTGTAGAGCACAATTAGTTATTCTGCAGCTATTCTGTAGACGTGCCTTGATAAACACTTTCCAAAATACGGATCATAGTTGACACAACAGATTTAGTTTCTCTAAGGCTTCTTTGTATACTTGAACTTTCTCATAAAA